AGATTATCGAGTTTATACATATCAAATTCCGTTGTAAATAAATTTTTCTTTTTGTTAAAAACTTGAATGTTTAGTCTACTTTATCGTTCGGTAGTTGTTCATATTTTTTATTATTATTAGTTAACGTTCTGAGTTTTTTTTTATCTTTTATTTTACAAATATATATATATATTATTTTTTTGATTAAATACATAATAGCGTCCTCTTTTCTTAATAAGATTATTTTTGATTGGTAAAAGGCTTGGCCGCTAACGGTTGGTCGAAAGTCAATCTAGTTGTGTTTTCCTCGTTTTATTTGCCGAATTGCCAATAGATATTTGACAAATATAAGCTTTATTTGATGATATCATATAAAATATAAAGATAAATGTAAATCTACATATATAACAAAATTTATAGTTGTACACTTTTTTTTCAAAAGAAAATTGACTTTCTATTTTCATATATCATTTGTTTTTAGATGTATGAATATTATAGTAGTAGACGTTTTATATTCAGTATTTTCATTATATGCAATATAATTGGATATATTACATTAGGTAAAAATATAATTTCTTTTTATATACATCGAATTGTCTCTTTATAGTGTTCTACTAGATTCGATCTATTTAGAATTTTATGAGGAGAAATAATTTAATCATTTGACTATAGAGGAAATCTTTATTCGACATATTTCTAATTGTTGTTTATTCTATATTTTAATGATACATAGTAGAACATGTCAAGTTTACAATTTTCGAATTTGATTTAAGAGAAAATTTCAATCCAATGGAATTTAATGCATAGACATTTTTACAAAAGTGAAAAATAAAAAAAAAACGAATTTTATCTTGAAGATTTTTGTGAATGAAATTTGAAAAAGTTTCCGATTATTTAACCTAAGAAACATTATAAAATTTTGAATATATTTATGAATGAAGAATCCTAACATATATCATATATTATTCAAATTTTATATTTCAATTGAAACCTATAAAAATTCAAAATGTAAAATAAGTTTTTAATGGCTCAATTTTGAACAAATTTTGAAAGAGCAATTTGTTTTTTTTTAACCAATGCAAATTTCTAGAGAAACTAACTCTTTAGTAGAAATACGTAGATAAGATTTCATTTATTATAATATCTCATTTTAACACAGAGTTCAGTAACGTTGAGATGAAGATAGAACCTTTCGAGTTGGTTTTCGTATTCGGAAATTTTGCAACTGATGACCTATAGGTGAAGCTATTTCGAGATACAAACTCGAAGGTCAAAATTTTCAATCCAGACCTTTGACCTAGTCCCAAATTTCGACTCGGGCCGAAATTCATCTCATTGCTATTTATAAAAAATGGTCTAGCTTCAATGAATAGTTAGTACATTTCCATAATGCAGAGTAGAATGACTCCTAGTGCTGAGAAGGATAGCATAGTACGTAGGAGTGTAATTTTAGATCATATTACAATGATTGCATCATCCTGTTTAGTATATGACATTTCGTTTTATTTTGATACTCATTGCAGAGGAATAATAGGTATCTCGTAAGAATACAATACTTCTAATATGAATCCAAATAGACTACGAAGTGTAGCAACTGATTATAGAAATATGGCTTTTTTGGTGAGATGAATTTGGCCCCGGGCGGAAAGTCCTTTATGATTTTCGGATCGGACCAGAAATTCCTTGGGGCTCATCCAGAGCGGGGAGAGGCGTAAAGTATTTATTCATATCAGCTATAATCCCTAGAAAAGAGCTTTTTTGTCTATTTTGTTGTCCAAAAAAAGAAGCAGGAGACGTAAAAACCCAGTTATGCTCTTGTTGGGCCGAAATTCATGAAACCCATACAAACTATGTAAACTAAATACTTCGTCAAAACCGCTATTTTTTGGCTTTCTGTAGATACAGTTTTGAATTGTTTTAGACAATTTACTGATAGTTGTTTAATCTTATCTCATAAGGAAAATTTGAAGAAATATTCGAAAATAGTGAAAAATTCTAATTGTAATTAACTGTTATCTTGCTGTAATCAGTTTGGTGCTAAGACTTTCATGTCATAGGTTAGTAGCTGATTATTACGGTAGAGATTTTCTTTCGGCGAATTAACTTTCAGTGACGAAAGAATTGAATCGTTTGCTTTTCGGACGTAATGGTATTACTTGATCTTCTCTTCTGAAACTAAACATGAAATATATTCTATATATTTGAACAAGATATAACTGTAGAATCTCAAACATTTCGAATTTTTTTTGTTTTTGTTTCTCGTAGCAACTGCAACTGACAAATCAAAACGATCCGATGATAAAGAAACTGTAGAACCAATATCTGTAAGTTTTAATATGAATAAAACATTATTGATGTTCTTTCTTTCTTTCTTTTTTTTTATCTCTCTAGCCTGAAGCTGTTGCACCTGAAGCACAAATTCATTTACATGTTGATGATACAATTATTCCAGAACAACATGATGATAAACAAATAATAAATGAAAAAATTTCTGAAACAAAATCTATAAAAGATAATAATGAAGATATTGATGAATTAAATGAATCATTACAAGATTTAATTATTGAATATCGTATAAAAGAACAAGAAAAAAATTCACAAATAAATCAAGATACTGAAGAAGATATTGACATCGATGCTGATGTCGATGATGATAATAATGATGATGATGATGCTAATTTACAACGTATATTAAAACAAATAGGT